TGGGGGTGAGTGAATGAGTTTAGTTTTGCGCTGCATTCAGCAATATTCAAGCTACATGGCGGCGGTCTGTAAATAATCAAGTCTGGACCAGACAATCCAGTGATCAACAGCATGAACATCGTTCTACGCTATTGGGATACAATGACATGTGTCAACCAAGTCTGCGAGTCTGACCACCCGATCCCGTTAGCACTAACACCGTTATCAAGATACTTGCTTGATTCGGTGTAGGTACTTACAACGTCATTAAGTGATACTTGCTTGATTCGGTGTAGGTACTTACAACGTCATTAAGTGATACTTGCTTGATTCGGTGTAGGTACTTACAACGTCATTAAGTGATACTTGCTTGATTCGGTGTAGGTACTTACAACGTCATTAAGTGATACTTGCTTGATTCGGTGTAGGTACTTACAACGTCATTAAGTGATACTTGCTTGATTCGGTGTAGGTACTTACAACGTCATTAAGTGACACTTGCTTGATTCGGTGTAGGTACTTACAACGTCATTAAGTGATACTTGCTTGATTCGGTGTAGGTACTTACAACGTCATTAAGTGACACTTGCTTGATTCGGTGTAGGTACTTACAACGTCATTAAGTGATACTTGCTTGATTCGGTGTAGGTACTTACAACGTCATTAAGTGACACTTGCTTGATTCGGTGTAGGTACTTACAACGTCATTAAGTGATACTTGCTTCATTCGGTGTAGGTACTTACAACGTCATTAAGTGACACTTGCTTGATTCGGTGTAGGTACTTACAGCGTCATTAAGTGACACTTGCTTGATTCGGTGTAGGTACTTACAACGTCATTAAGTGACACTTGCTTGATTCGGTGTAGGTACTTACAACGTCATTAAGTGATACTTGCTTGATTCGGTGTAGGTACTTACAACGTCATTAAGTGATACTTGCTTGATTCGGTGTAGGTACTTACAACGTCATTAAGTGATACTTGCTTGATTCGGTGTAGGTACTTACAACGTCATTAAGTGATACTTGCTTGATTCGGTGTAGGTACTTACAACGTCATTAAGTGACACTTGCTTTATAACGGTCTTAGAAGCTACACCGAAACGTCGCATTCATTGCAATAAAGAAGTTGACTATCTATACAACCTGGTTCTCCTCCATCTATACAACTTCTAAAATGCCTCTCAAAGAAGGGTTCGCAGAGGGTAAAAGTATTATTTATATCATATGAGGACATAAATTTTCCAACCGCGGGGAAATCTGAGATAATAAATGTTAATATTATTTCATGTCAGAATAAAAACATCAGTGCGGGAAGTAGATGGGAGACACGGGAACATACAGCCTAATGACACGACAATCTGAAACAGAGTATCGACCTGACCTTCTCTAGATCAAACAGAGACCACAGCATGGACAAAGCCCGAGTCTCATCAAGTTATGAACACTTGCCTCGGGGGAAATTGTAACAATGTTCCATCAATATGTGTCCGCTTCATTGGCTTTATCACCGACTGGCCCAAACCACCTTGACATGAAGAGGAATTGTTTAACCGTATCACCGAATGTATTCAGTCCCACACAATGCAGGCATTACCAATCTGCATGTGTCTAGACGGTGTCGGGTCGCCAGTGTAGACGGAAACTGGTTGTGTAAATTTGTCATCCATTTGAACTTAATTGATCCCATGTGTTGTTAAAACTGTTTACATGTCAATAAGTATTTCTTCTACGGTAGCTCGAAACGGTCATGGCTCATAGGCGGGACAACTAACCGGTCACTAAGTTTGTTTGTTTGTTTGTTTGTTTGTTTGTTGTTAGTTAACGACGCACAACAATATTCCAGGGATATATCTGTAAATAATGGAGCCTGGACCAGACAATCCAGTGTTCAGTATCATGGGCATCGATCCACACAATTGGGAGACGATGACATGGGTCAACCAAATCAGCGACCCTGACTACCCGATCCCGTTAGTCGCCTCTTACGACAAACATGGGTTTCTGAAGACCAATTCTCGAAAACATTAGGGGAAGAATAACTGTTTGGAACTACGCGATAATTAGGACGATTCAAATGTTGTTCATTCACGGTTTCTAAAGATACTTCATTGATTTAATTCTAACCCGGACTTCACGGGTCCCTGGAGGGGGTGGGGGTGTTACGTCTTAGCACGAGCCGCTTTGCCAGATGGTTTCAGACAGGTGCGTGTTTGGGTATTACTGTTACCCAAGACTGTTGAGCCGGAGGGGTGTTATCTCAATATGTTGACTATCAACCTGGTCATGTTTGACTTCATTCCTGATGTATACTCACAAACAAAAGAAAGCACACACCCATGTTTGAAGGTTGGTAACGATGAAACGAAAAAGAGGGTGGTGATATATACTCAGGGAAACAAATAAGGGAACATATGAAAGTACAAGTGTTCCTATATTCCTCTCCAGGTTTCTTCCAAACTATGGTTCAAAATCTGAAAATAAATGTAGGCATACTGTGATGAAGTGGTGTTCCCCTATTTGTTTCCCTCAGTATATCTGAAGCTGGTCGTATAGCTGCATGTGTAGGATATGAACCTTACAGTATTTAGGTAACTAATCGTATCCCAATTTCTAACCTTTGCAATCATAAGTTCAATCCAATTTCCAACTCTATACGTTTTCTCGGCAGTAATATGTATAACACCCAAACAGTCTTTGTTTGAATTATGGACCATCTATCAATATAATACACTATACAATTGTAGAAATGGCATTTTAGATAGTGAATGAAGATCATAGCCATTTTATAACAGTTTTCAGTCAATAACTGAAAAAGAAACTGCTTAAAGGAATGTGTAGGTTTACTCAAAAGCAATCATGTTCATGTCTCGTGCCCACCCATTATTAAACTTATTGTAAGCTACTATTGTGTAGGTTATAAAATTTCATATCTTTAGAAGTAGAAATATTTCGATTTAGAGAAAACAACTTTAGCAGATGAATAAGTTTGTATGCTGGCTTTTGCAATATTCTAGGAATAGCATGGTGAAGAACACCAGGATCCAAACCCGGAATCAGCGGATCCTGATTTGCTTCTCAGTTCATGGTTTTATCATTTAAACATTCACATGGCCATGACCATCACATAGATATTAAAATATTGAAAAAGTATGCCAAACACCAAAATAAATCCATCGAACATGATTACAAGACACCTATATTAGCGAAAAAAGCTGAACCATTGATAGTTCAAATTAACATCTACTGTATAATTACTGCAAAGATTGAGCGAGAATGACTTTTCGACATAAATTCTAAAGTTTCAACAATATCCCATCAGCATAAGCAAGACTAAGACCAGGACAAGTCTTTCACACATGTCGGGCTTCAAACCCGGTCAGCGGCGTGAAGATCGATCGCTTTACCCACGAGGCTACCCAACTGCACCACTTCACGGAAAGGTCCTCTGTTAAAACGTGATCATTTTAACTTAACGGTTCATTACTGGGACTTACAATTCATTTCACTGCACTTCACTCAGAATTCGTTGCATTAAGGACAGAAAATGTCATCAACAACTTTCTAAAATTATCACAAGACTCTCAAGCTTTTCCAGCGAAACGGATTTCACTGATTGGAAGTGAAAAGCCAAGTAGCAGTGAAAATTATATGAATGGCCCGCCAAACATCAGCGACTGTGATCGCTAAAATGGACAACGTCATAGTTCCCTCACAAATAGTTACATGTTATCTTTATATCACCAGGTCTTACTTTCAAAATACCCTCAAGTCATTCCGCCTCTTCGCCCTAATTCAAATCGATCTCGAACAGTTTTTCCTCAAACAATACTCCTTTACGAAACGTTAATCATTAACAAATATGGCTGAAGCACCTCTCTCGTTTTAAGGACCCCAATGGAGATATTATAGACGTAGAATTGACTGTATAACTTTGTCAATATTGTTCACACTCTGTGTCACATTTGAGCTAGAATAATCTCATCAGGTCGTACCCCCGGGGGCGTTAGAGGGGGCTGTCAGATCATATCGTTCCGGTATATTTGTTACAGCGAGAAGACGCCATGTTACCCACGAAAGACACCCACCAGCATGATGACGATGATGATAGAGAGTTGCGGAACAGATTGTGTTGTGGCGGTACACTGTTGTAGGGTCGTGTAAACGGTTGAACAGTCTGTCAGTGTCTGTCAGAGGTTTCTCTGGCTGACGTGGCGCTTACGTTTGACAAGTATTTTCAACGTGATTGCAAGGCGGAGAGGAAATGACGCGTTTGATGGCAAAGATGTTTAAAAAATGTTGTGAACACCAGTCAGTAAAACACATCCACAACAAAGACGTTCACCCTCATGCAGCTCATTTTCACAATTAGTATCATTAAGGGACAGTTCATAATCTATGACTGGATGTGTGTGTATGAGTGTATGTGTGTGTTTAGGGGTGGGGGTGGGGGCAGGGTGCGGATAGATGATGATTTCAAGAGGGGCCACCCATTTTCCATTTTGTTCTGAGAAGGTAGAGGAGCATCAGTTTCTGAATTACTGGGGGGCGGGCAGCAATTATGTACATGAGCATATTAACGAATTATTAATAACTTATGGGAAGGGGGGTGTCATCGATTTTGTCCATGACACGCAGGGGGTCATTTACTCTGTACATATTTTGATTTTTGTTGTTGTTTTTCTTTGGGGGTCCATTCACATTGTACATGCTACCCAAAAAATTATCCCCACCCTCCACCCCACTACCCTCCAGCCCGAGCCATAAATTATGAACGGTCCCTAATAATAACATTATGACATGCAAGTAAGTTAACTAATGCCTCATTTCGCTTAAAATGAGGGCTTTAAATTTGACTTTAACAAAATCTAAGTACACGTGAATACAATGATACAATGTAATGAAATTATTATCAAAACATATTTCAACATCAACATGTCCCTTACGAATCAGTAAAGGATTTTTTCTAAGTTATAATTCGGTCAGCGCCGATCTTCCGCTGAGATGTACCAGTAACCTACCTTCTCTTGTTTTCCATTAATGTCAAGATAAACTGTCTTGGAGGGTTCAATCGATGAAGCGTTCCCCATCTTTGTTTCTGTCCCGTATCACAGCCAAAATATACACTCAGCGTTCACAAGAACAATATCTCCTCTATATACACCTTCTGTATTCATACAATCACTTTAAATCCTTCTCCAACTGTCATGCTGAAATCTCCTCTCTTATGTGTCGTCTGCTCTTTTATACTCTCGCTACTGTCGCGTGCTGATGGCGTTATCGCGCATGCGCACCGAAGCCTGAAGCCCTGATGTTTCGTGCATCACCTTGGAGATGAATTAGATTTAAATGCATCAAGTCACTATGGAAACGAGCTACGCGATGTTTCGGCATGATAGTTGCAGGTCAAACATTTAACACTTATCAATTGTAGCACAAAATAAGTGACGTTTTCGTATGGCGGGATGTGGGCAGTCTGCCAGCGCGTTATCGATCTGAAGCTGAATGTACTTGGCAGCAAGAACATGCGATCGGAGTAATTATATCTACACTACAAACGCTCTGTCATCTCGGGACGACCAATGTAACGACACGCAACTTCGTCAACGATTTTTTTTCAAACGAGACTACTTAAAACTCCATCTCGTCTTCGGTCACGCATTGCTGTCGGGAACATACCAATTACAGCCGTAACACTAGCAGTAGCAGTAGTAGATGCAGCAGTGGTAGGAATACTGATTCCAGTAGAAGCAGTAGCAGCAGCAGTAGTAGTAGTAGTAATAGTAGCAGTATACGTAGTAGGAATAATGATTCCAGTAGTAGCAGCAGCAGAAATAGTAGTAGTAGTAGTAGCAGTAGTAGTAGTAGCAGCAGCAGTAGTAGATGTTGCAGTGGTGGGAATAATGATTCCAGTAGAAGTAGTAGTAGTAGCCGCAGCAGCAGCAGCAGTAGTAGTAGTAGTAGTAGTAGATGTAGCAGTGGTAGGAATAATGATTCCTGTAGAAGTAGTAACAGCAGTAGTAGTAGTAAATGTAGCAGTAGCAGTAGTAGGAATAATAAATCCAGTAGTAGTAGCAGCAGCAGCAGCAGTAGTAGTAGTAGCAGCAGCAGAAATAGTAGTAGTAGTAGCAGCAGTAGAAGTAGCAACAGTAGCAGTAGTAGTAGTAGTAGTAGTAGCAGTAGTAGCAGTAGTAGCAGCAGTAGTAGCAGTAGTAGCAGTAGTAGCAGTAGTAGCAGTAGTAGTAGTAGTAGCAGTAGTAGCAGTAGTAGTAGTAGCAGTAGTAGCAGTAGCAGTAGTAGCAGTAGTAGTAGTAGTAGTAGCAGTAGTAGTAGTAGCAGTAGTAGCAGCAGTAGCAGCAGTAGTAGTAGTAGTAGTAGTAGTAGGTAGTAGTAGTAGTAGTAGTGGTAGTAGTAGCAGTGGTAGCAGTAGTGTAGTAGTGGCAGCAGAATGGTAGTGGTAGTAGTGGCAGCAGCAGAGCAGTAGCAGCAGTAGGTAGTAGTAGTAGTAGCAGCAGTAGTAGTAGTAGTAGTAGTAGTAGCAGTAGTAGCAGTAGTAGCAGCAGTAGCAGCAGTAGTAGCAGTAGTAGCAGTAGCAGTAGCAGTAGTAGTAGTAGTAGTAGTAGTAGTAGTAGCAGTAGTAGCAGTAGTAGCAGTAGTAGCAGCAGTAGCAGCAGTAGTAGCAGCAGTAGTAGCAGTAGCAGTAGTAGTAGTAGTAGTAGTAGCAGTAGTAGCAGCAGTAGCAGTAGTAGTAGTAGTAGTAGTAGTAGCAGTAGCAGTAGCAGTAGCAGTAGCAGTAGTAGCAGTAGCAGCAGTAGTAGTAGTAGCAGCAGTAGTAGTAGTAGTAGCAGTAGCAGTAGTAGTAGTAGTAGTCGTAGTAGTAGCAGTAGTAGTAGTAGTAGTAGTAGTAGTAGTAGTAGTAGTAGTAGCAGTAGTAGTAGCAGCAGGAGCAACTAAAAATTATAACTAAGAAGAAATGTCTATTCCACGATTATGTATCATAGCTATTTATTTATTTTTATTTATTTTTTTATTTTTTTTATTTTGATGGCTTTTTACTCTTGAAAAGTGAATTCACCCTAGCCACGTTTTGGACGTATATTCAAGTTCTTTTTTAGCCCGGCTGTTTTATAACCCTGCAGAAAGGTCACTGTTAGCTGTTAGCTTACGTTAGCTGTTTTGCTTGCCCTAGCAATTTTCAAACACATATTTTTCAGGCAAATTCGCCCATTAAGTGTTCCATGATAATACATAACCAAACTCACACCTTTTTTACAAAAAAACATCAACTATTTAAAAAATGAAGCAACCCTCCGACTTTGTCTAAAATATGTTTTCTTTTGTGGCTTTTCTTTTAACCCGGTTGGCAACTGTTTTGGACAAAAATATCTGCGCAGCATGTATAGTTTGTAGCGAGTCTGAGGTGTTCCAGCACTGTTGGTGTCACAAACTAGGCCCGTCGGTTGCCTGGCAACTGGACTTCTCAGGGGAAAAGGTAATAACTATGCTGGACTGTACTGCTATTTCGGGCGGTGGGGTAGCCTAGTGCTTAAGGCGTTAGCTCATCAAGAACACCCGGTTTGATTCACCACATGGGCACAATGTGTAAAACCCACTTCTGATGTCCCCCGCCATGATATTGCTGGAATATTGCTAAAAGCGGCGTAAAAAAACTCAGTGCTATTGAGACCAAACCAAGTTGAACTGCTTCGAAAATAATGATTAATGAACAACTTTGCTTAATTCCTGGAATATTAAAAGAAAAATCTGAGGCAATGTTTTGGCATAGAGTGAGAAATATAATGCATTCAGATAAAAGATCAATTCGCGGAAAAATACTTCTCAACAAATTTAGTTTCAAAAGAAAAGTATTAATGCTGAAAAAATAAATAGCAGGATCTTACATCCCAAAGCATCCGAAAGATCTTAGGATCGATGGATCCCGTTTGGCCAGCCAGCCTGTAAACACGATATAGTGAACAAATAGAATTGATAGCGAGTAATATTGATGTTATTCATATACTCATGCCAATAATGGTTGTCACCCCCTTCATTTTTTTTAATTGGAGAGGGGTGTGGGTTGGGAGTGTGAGGTGGGGGTTGGGGTGGGGAGGGGTGACAACCATTATTGGCATGAGCATATCATTACAGTATCTCGAAGACACGTTGAACAACCAACACTTGACACCCATGCCATATTCCCAATGTCAATAGTTCGACACAAATAAAGATTCTTAAAATTTCATCCTAACGAAATTAAATTTAATTTCATAAACAAACTAACAAGTTCATTTTAATACAGACCTCGAAATAGATCTAATTAAATAGATATCTGATGACCCTTTTAGTTCGTTATAGTTGTTCTTTGTGTCATGTGATGTGACATAGCCCGTGTGACCGGTACCACCTGCCTCAACAACACAGTGCTCTAAGACGAACTCCGAACGCTTTTCTGGGTAGTGAAAATAACATACACAGGCAGTGTAGAGTTGTGGAGAACTGGCTGGTGAAGTCGCGCTGTGACTATTGCATTTATGATTTGGTTGTTGTATTAATTTGCAACGATAATTTACCAGGTGCTCTCTATGAATTTTACGAATTACTACTCGCGTTTTGTATAATACCATCAGCTGTGACGTATTTACCTTTTTCGCGAATACCCTTTGTAATCCATGATTTTATTAGTGATGCTTTCATTTAATTTTCGGATTTATTAGTAATGCTTTCATTTAATTTTCGGAGCCGAGGGGTAGCCAAGTGGTTAAAGCGTTCGCTCGTCACTCCGAAGGCCCGGGTTTGATTCCCCACATGGGTACAATGTGCGAAGCCCATTTCTGCTTTCCCCCGCCGTGATGTTGTTGGCATATTGCTAAAAGCGGCGTAAAACCATATTCACTCACTCACTCATTTAATTTTCACAACTATTTTGTATACAGTCATAACGAACTCAAAGGCACCACTAATTATCGTTCGTTATAACCATAGTTCCTCATACAAATATCAGCAGCGAGTGTCCGGGACATAAAAGTGAGTGAGTGATTATGGTTTTACGCCGCTTTTAGCAATATTCCAGGGTCATCGTGGCAGGGGACACTAGAATTGGGCTTCATACATTGGCCCATTTGGAGAATCGAACCCGGATGTTCGGTTTGACAAGCGAACGCTTAAACTCGGTAGTGGGTCAGCTACCAACACCGCAACAACAAGCAGTCAGATCAGTAGTGGGTGTAGTAGCAGTAGCAACAACAAGCAGTCAGATCAGTAGTGGGTGTAGTAGCAGCAGTAGCAACAACAAGCAGTCAGATCAGTAGTGGGTGTAGTAGCAGCAGTAGCAACAACAAGCAGTCGGATCAGTAGTGGGTGTAGCAGCAGCAGTAGTAAACAAGTCAGATCAGTAGTGGGTGTAGAGCAGTAGTAGGCAGTCAGATCAGTAGTGGGTGTAGTAGCAGCAACAACAACAAGCAGCAGTCAGATCAGTAGTGGGTGTAGTATCAGCAGCAGTAGCAACAACAAGCAGTCAGATCAGTAGTGGGTGTAGTAGCAGTAGCAACAAGCAGTCAACAAGTGGGTGTAGTAGCAGCAGTCAGATCAGTAGTGGTGTAGTAACAACAGCAGCAGTAGCAACAACAAGCAGTCAGATCAGTAGTAGTGGGTGTAGTAGCAGCAGTAGCAACAACAAGCAGTCAGATCAGTAGTGGGTGTAGTAGCAGCAGTAGCAACAACAAGCAGTCAGATCAGTAGTGGGTGTAGTAGCAGCAGTAGCAACAACAAGCAGTCAGATCAGTAGTGGGTGTAGTAGCAGCAGTAGCAACAACAAGCAATCAGATCAGTAGTGGGTGTAGTAGCAGCAGTAGCAACAACAAGCAGTCAGATCAGTAGTGGGTGTAGTAGCAACATCAGTAGTGGGTGTACAGCAGCAGCAGACAGCAGGTGTAGTAGCAACAACAAGCAATCAGATCAGTGGGTCAGTGAGTAGGCAGTCAGATCAGTAGTGGGTGTAGTAGCAACAGATCGGTAGCAACAACAAGCAGTCAGATCAGTAGTGGGTGTAGTAGCAGCAGTAGCAACAACAAGCAGTCAGATCAGTAGTGGGTGTAGTAGCAACAGTAGCAACAACAAGCAGTCAGATCAGTAGTGGGTGTAGTAGCAGCAGTAGCAACAACAAGCAGTCAGATCAGTAGTGGGTGTAGTAGCAGCAGTAGCAACAACAAGCAGTCAGATCAGTAGTGGGTGTAGTAGCAGCAGTAGCAACAACAAGCAGTCAGATCAGTAGTGGGTGTAGTAGCAACAGCACTAGCAACAGTAGCAATATTAGACTGACTGACTGACTGAGTTTAGTTTTACGCCGCTTTTAGCAATATTCCAGCAATATCACGGCGGGGGACAGCAATATTAGAAGCAGAAGTAGTAGCAAGAGCACTAGCACTAGAACTAGCAGCAGTATGAGCAGCCTCAATATCTTTAGCATTACTACCACTATCAGTAGTAATAGGTAGCATTTGTGGTAGCAAGATCATTGTCAATAGTTGCTTCGGCGCGAGGAATAAGAACACCACGACATACCATGACTGTTTTTTTTTAAAACGCCACAGAAATGTCTTAATAATGAACAAGGGACCCCCTCTAAGTTGGCGTGTGTTTATGTAACAACTGAAGTTTACTTAACACCCGTACCTTGCTTGACACCCGAACCATGCCTAACACCCGTACCCTGGTTGACACCCGTACCTCGCTTGACACCCGTACCTTGATTGACACCCGCACCTTGCTTGACATCCGTACCTTGCTTGACTCCCGTACCTTACTTAACACCCGTACCCTGGTTGACACCCGTACCTCGCTTGAAACCCGTAGTTTACTTAACACCCGTGCCTTACTTAACACCCGTACCTTGCTTGACACACGTACCTTGCCTAACACACGTACCTTGCCTAACACCCGTACCTTGCTTGACACACGTACCTTGCTTGACACACGTACCTTGCTTGACACACGTACCTTGCCTAACACACGTACCTTGCCTAACACCCGTACCTTGATTGACACCAAAACCTTACTTAACACCCGTACCTTGCTTGACACACGTACCTTGCCTAACACACGTACCTTGCTTGACACACGTACCTTGCTTGACACCCGTACCTTGCCTAACACCCGTACCTTGCTTGACACCCGTACCTCGCTTGACACCCGTACCTTGCTTGACACACGTACCTTGCCTAACACCCGTACCTTGCTTGACACACGTACCTCGCTTGACACCCGTACCTTGTTTGACACCCGCACCTTGCTTGACTCCCGTACCTTACTTAACACCCGTACCCTGGTTGACACCCGTACCTCGCTTGAAACCCGTAGTTTACTTAACACCCGTGCCTTACTTAACACCCGTACCTTGATTGACACACGTACCTTGCCTAACACACGTACCTTGCCTAACACCCGTACCTTGCTTGACACCCGTACCTCGCTTGACACCCGTACCTTGTTTGACACCCGCACCTTGCTTGACATCCGTACCTTACTTGACTCTCGTACCTTACTTAACACCCGTACCTCGCTTGAAACCCGTAGTTTACCCAACACCCGTGCCTTACTTAACACACGTACCTTGCTTGACACACGTACCTTGCCTAACACACGTACCTTGCCTAACACCCGTACCCGGGTTGACACCCGTACCTTGATTGACACCCGTACTTTGCCTAACACCCGTACCTTGTTTGACACCAGTACCCTGTTTGACACCCGTACCTTGCTTGACACCACTACCTTGCATGACACACGTACCTTGCCTAACACCCGTACCTTACTTGACACCTGTACCTTGCTTGACACCGATACCTTGCATGACACACATACCTTGCCTAACACCCGTACCTTGCTTGACACCCTTACCTTGCATGACACCCGTTCCTTGCATGACACCCGTACCTTGCTTGACACGCGTACCTTGCCTGACACGCGTACCTTGCATGACACACATACCTTGCCTAACACCCGTACCTTGCTTGACACCCTTACCGTGCTTGACACCCGTTCCTTGCATGACACCCGTACCATGCTTGACACGCGTACCTTGCATGACACACGTACCTTGCCTAACACCCTACCGTGCTTGACACCCGTACCTTTCTTGACACCCGTACCTTGCTTGACACCCATACCTTGCATGACACACGTACCTTGCTTGACACACGTACTTTACTTGACACCCGCACCCTGCATGATACACGTACCTTGCTGGACACCCGAAACTTGCATGACATACGTACCTTCTTTGACACACGTATCTTGCCTAACACCAGTACCTTGGTTGACACCCGTACCTTGCCTTACACCCGTACCTTGTTTGACACCCGTACCTTGCCTAACATCCGTACCTTGCCTAACACCCGTACCTTGCTTGACACCTTTACCTTGCTTGACACCCGTTCCTTGCATAACACCCGTACCTTGCTTGACACGCGTACCTTGCATGACACACGTACCTTGCTTAACGCCCGTACCGTGCCTAACACCCTACCGTGCTTGACACCCGTACCTTTCTTGACACCCGTACCTTTATTGACACCCGTACCTTGCTTGACACCCGTACCTTGCTTGACACCGATACCTTGCATGTCACACGTACCTTGCATTACACACGTACCTTGCATGACACACGTACCTTGCATGACACACGCACCTTGCATGACACCCATACCTTAACACTAGTATCTTGCTTGACACCCGTACCTTATTTGCTTGTCACCCGTACCTTGCTTAACACCAGTATCTTGCTTGACACCCGTACCTTACCTAACACCCGTACCCTATTTGCTTGTCACCAGTGCTTTACTTAACACCCGTACCTAGCCTGACACTACGGCATATCATGCCCTTTTTTTAAAACGCCACAGTAATGTCTTCATAACGAACAAGCGTCTCCATCTAAGTTGCCGTGTGTTTATGTAACAGCCGAACTTGATATTTCAGTGTAGACTGAGAAAATTCATGATTTGTTACACGAGACATGTTGATATTCCGTTGTGGTATTTAGGTCGAGAGTTGCTGCGGGGACTTGAGATGTAAGCTGGCTCAATGTCGAGCTGTAACACAAATAGCGGTCAGTTATGTAAACTCTTGAGGGGAGCCTAATGTCAGAGAACGGCCAAGGTGTCCTTGGTGTTTATCGCTACTGTTAAAGCTAACGTATTGTCAGCTGACCTCGGGACGAATTTGGCATCCTAACCTACCAGCCGATCCTGTGCAATAAAGGGAGGTAACTCTGTAAACCGAATAACACAGCTTCAGATCACTCGATACCTTAGTAGGTGTGAAAATTATATGAATGAATCACTGAAAATCAGTGATGACACCAGGTGTTCGCGAAATAGTTTTAGCTTTCACAGATACAGACAAAGCAATAACTTGTAAACAGATGCTATTCATCAGGCAGCAGATTTTATCAGAATACTACAAAGACGCTAACAAGTAAGTGTGAGTGAGTGAGTTTTGTTTGACGCCGCACTCAGCAATATTCCAGATATATGGCGGCGGTCAACAGCATGAGCATCGATCTGTGCAATTTGGAACCAATGACATGTGTCAACCAGGTCAGCGACCCTGACCACCCGATCCCGATAGTCGCCTCTGAGGACAAGCATGGGTTACTGAAGATCAAGTCTAACCCGGATCTTCGCGGGTCGCTAACAAATAAGACGGATCAGTCATTGTTTGATTCTGAATGTAGATAGAGAGAGAGCCATAACGCTACGACTGTTGAAAATGTTCAGGAGATCTGTACATTGTGAAGTATTCACATGTTACACAGGTTTCGGAAAGAAATATAATGACCAGATAACGATAAAAAAAGACACTGTGTAACGTTTTGTTCGCGATAAATTGTTATTGAATATAAATAATGTGAAAGTGACCTAGGCCTCGTTCCACAAAGCGATTGTAGTGCTACGACTGTCGTAAGTCTATGTTAAAGTGTGGGAGTTACGATCATCTTAGTGCTACGACTGTCGTAAGTCTGTGTTAAAGTGTGGGAGTTTCGATCATCTTAGTGCTACGACTGTCGTAAGTCTGTGTTAAAGTGTGGGAGTTACGATCATCTTAGTGCTACGACTGTCGTAAGTCTGTGTGAAAGTGCGGGAGTTACGATCACCTTAGTGCTACGACTGTCGTAAGTCTGTGTTAAAGTGTGGGAGTTACGATCATCTAAGGGCTACTATCGCTTTGAGAACGCGGGCCCTGGTCAACTCAAAACCATATCTCGCCGACCGTACAGAAAGATGAAATACCCTCAGATGATTAGTTTTCACATTTCATAAATCTATTTCACGATTGTTACATTAGTGATAACCCCAGATCACAAGTGGTTGATTTCAACAGGGATGAAATTACTGCCAGTATCCTTGATTCACCTATTACCGCAGATGAACCAGATGATTCCATTAATGGATTAAAGAGCTCGAAGGACAATCTAATTTCTGAGTTTATGGTTGTATTATTATCATTAATTGAATTGTTCGTAACATGATATTTCATTCCCTCGTTTTCCAGATGTTTGAAATACCAGTATAAATGTAACATTATTTAGAAAGGAGAACAAACAAAGGTCGAAATAACTGCAGAGGAATATATCTTTTGATCATGAGCACTTACAGCAAGCTGCATACATCAATACTCAACAATAGGTTGTCATTTTCGGCCGAATGATACGAGCAGATTGTAGTCTTAGTCTGAGTTTAGCAAAGGTTATAGCACCATAGATAATGTGTCTATATAACAGTCTGATATTTAGCGCTATCTGTCAAGGAAGCGGTGCAAACTGTAGGCAATATTTGTTGAATTTAGAAAATCGTTTGATCTTGTCCACCGGTCCAAATTATGGTATATCTTACAGTTTAAACGTTTAATTAACTCAAATGAATTTATAGTGATGTTAAGAGACAACACGTGCCCCTCAGGCGTATTCAGCTCCTCACGTGGCCTAAGGCGAGGGTGTGCGCTTAGTCCATTACTATTATCGCTTTTTATGAATGAATTAGCTTCAGAAGATGAATCATCATGTGCATCCAATTGGTGTACAATTACTCCTTGATATCGAACAACTGTTTCTCCAAACTGCCGATACTGTTTATGTATGGCCTGCGGAAAAACAATACATTATTTAACTGTAACTCTACACAAAGCTAAAATAGTTGTATTTACAAATGGCGGCATGTTATCAAAGCATTAAAATGGTATTTTAATGATGCCCAAGTTGAATGTGTTACTTTCTGTAAATATCTAGGTGTGCTATTTTCAAGATCACTGTCATCGACTCGTGTGACGAATGTTGCCTTGCAGGCAAAGAAAATAGCTTGTGGTGTTGTTAAATCTTTAAACATGTTCGAGCCATATCCAAATAGCCCCAAAAAGCTGAAATATTGCAAAGTACGGCGTTAAACAACAAACATATCCAAATGAGTTTTACTTTAAAATACTTAATACCAAATTTACCCCAATTTTACTGTAATTTTCGGAAATGTGTTGCGTTGAAAACCATGAGACTGTTCAAATGTTTGCATGTAAACGTGTTTTGCGTGTAAAGCAAACAGCCTCAAACCAGGTAATCAGAGGTGAGTATGGAAAGTACCCAGTGCATATGTTCCCTTGTAAGAGGAATATCAAATACTGGTGTTAAGTTATTAATATGCCACAACCCAGATTTGCTAGGAAATGCTATAATTTATTGTTACTTGAAACATGGAAAGATTAATTAGGTTTCAAACTTCTAATTGTTCTAACTTCACTAGAATTTGGTTACATTTGATAGCAGCAGCTCTAAATCGCTGACATATATTCAATTCAAAATCTCAGTCGGACTTGAAACTTACATCAAAGAGATGTCCATCTCCAAATTTAGGATTGCTCTTGCTCGAGATGCTGCGGCAGGTAAAAAAACAGGGCCTAAAGAAGAAAGATTGTTTTTAATCTGTAAACGTACATCGCGGATGAATCACTTTAGGTATATATATAACACTCTGAGATATAAATACATGCCCGGGTTTAGTATGTTAATGCCTTCAGTGGATGTATCTACATGTACTCTGCAAAACCTACCCGCTTATATAGATCCGGGTTAGAACTGATCTTCAGTAAACTATGCTTGTCGTAAGAGGTGACTAACAGGATCAGGGGTCAGGCTCACTGACTGGGTTGACACATGTCATCGGTTTCCAATTGCGCGCATTGATGCTCATGCTGTTGATGACTGGATTGTCTGGTCCAGACTCTATTATTTACAGACCGCCGCCATAAATCTGGACTATTGCTGAGTGCGGCGTAAAACAACACTCAATCACTCACTCACTCACTCACTCAACCACTCAACCACTCAACCACAATAATACATACATTCTTGTACCTGATTCCTAAGGTCTCCATATTTCGCACCCATAACGAAGGATGGATGTATTTTCAGTCATCTCTTTTGATCTGTAGGAAGGTAACTGTAAATATTTTTTAGCATTTCGCATTTGGAGTCAGTACAACTGCTTTTGTTCTACGTATTCGTCAGTACTCTAGGCAAAACACTTAAAACGTTCACTTTTCTATGCAGTTATACAATTTCTCTCATTGACGTTTATTTATGTTTTTGGTAAGTTGATATTTTCCTTCCATGCAGTCATTAACTCTTGTAGATCACTCTTACAATTTTGGCCTGAAGTACATTTCATCAAAATAAGAAATTATCATCAAATGTCAAACTGTGTTAAGTATCTGTGTGAAGTACCTCGCCAGACCTTATAAGCAATCAAGGACTAAAACACAGTGTTTCGTAACATTTAGTAAATACGATCAGTATTTGAAATTGTCTGTCGAAATTGAGAAAGGAGACATTTCTTTTTGGGGTTTTTGTACTTAAATATCGTGCGTATTTTCTGACACGTTTCTAGATTTGATTTACTGCTATTTATCTTTGATACATGCACTTAGCTGAAACATGATGATTAGTTCAGTTAAACTTTCATTTTATTACACATCTTAGACTTTAATACATCGGAAACTGTTCATCATCATCATCATCATCATCATCATCATCATCATCATCTTGTTCATTGTATAGAGCGATGCAAAATGCTGATCAAGCAAGTATCATCGTCATCAGTGAGCCCAGTGAATAAAGCGTTCACTCGTCACGCCGAAGACCCGGGTTGGATTCCCTACGGTAGGGGAGACCCAGGGCTCCAGATAATTTTTCAACATCTGGGCCTAGATTTTCGAAGCTCTCTTAGCGCTAAGATAGTCGTAAGTACCATACATTAACATTAACTTACGACTATCTTAGCTCTGACAGAGCTTCGAAAATCAAGACCCAGGAGTACGTACTCCTTATTTTGTTCAATATAGGAGAACTGGAAAACCTTAAGAGTACGTTTAGAGTACTGAATGGAATTTAATGGAGTGTCAGTAATCTTGAGTTTCGTTTCATATACGCACCACAGCATTGCTACTCTTGTGTAAACAGGTCAATAAGCAATAAAGCAATAATTTTTCAGATAATTATGTCTGTAAATGATTCTGAAACCGTACACCATTGCTGTGGTGCGTATCTGTCACGTTTTCTAAA